AACTCACCAAAAATTTCGACAAAAATGAGTGGAAAATATGCAGTAAATGATGGGGTTTGCTGCAGAATTGAGAGGTGCTAAACTTTGCACGAAAGTCGCTATTGCAATGTTGGTTTGAGTTTGAGGTATTTGGCCATACACCTGGAGGAGATCAAAGAGCATGTAGGGGCTCCAGCAAATGATGAAAACTGAAACACAATAATCTTAATAAGTTTTTTTCAGTTGTGAAATGTACACATTTTTGTTCGATCAAGTTCACAAATTGAAAGTCAAACGTGAATGTTATTTTCATTTTCCAATTTTCACTTGTAACTACTCACTTAAATTCAGTACAAGTATAACAAATAATAACATTATCTTTGGATGCTATATTAAGACCGAACAGTTAATAATTTTGTGTGAAAGCTATTTCCTGGGCCTTTTGGACTTGGTCTGCAGGTTTTTATGCCTGACGTTTTCTCTACTACTACGGTAGACATAAAGGCAATGTGTTTTTTAAAAGTATTACTGTATCTTCGAGTGAAACAACGCGAGTGCCTTCTTTGTTGTTCCGCTACAGCTGCAGCACTTATTTTCGTGGTTCCAACGTAGACCGACTTGCAGCTGCAAGGAATTCTGTATGCCTCAGGTGTTGCTAAATGTTTTCCGGGGTCCTTAGCTGACCTTACTTTGTCAGATTGTTTTTGATGGCCTAACTATTGGTTTCACTGTTTCTCTCAATCCGGTCTGTAACATTTTCAACATGAGGAAGAAAATATTTTTTTGCCTTTCTCTCTCCTGAATCATATGGCCCGCCCCAATTCTTCTTTGCTGTACCCATTTCCTTTGGAGGCATTTTTTAGGTGATTGAGTTCCTCAGGAAGAATATCGGGTTTACAAATACGTTGTGGCTGGTGGTCAAGGCCGTAGCCAGAAAGCAATTTCGGGGGAGGGGGGATTTAGCTTTGGCTAAATCTTGGTGGCACTCTAGTACTAGCCCTGAGGTAACACGTTGTCTGTTCTAGGCTAATAGGGCTTGTCTGTTATCAGTGCAGATTGTTTTTTTGCCAGAAATTCCTTTCCTGGTTATTTCTTTTGTGGCAATTGAGATACCAGCCAGTTCCGTTTGAACCACACTGGTATTTTTTCCCATTCCCCACTTCATCCTTAGGCTTAATGATCATTCCTCATCATGAGCCTTCTTTGATTTTTGAGCCGTCTGTATATATGCGTATTGCATTTGTAGCATCTGACTCTGTGTTCTGTTTCATTTGTATTTTGTAGGGTTTACTGGGTACAATTGCAGTAACACCAGTCTGTTCAAGGCTAATAGTGCTTATCTGCTATCAGTGCAGATTGTTATGTTTTTGCCAGAAATTCTTTTCTTGGTTATTTCTTTTGTGACGATTGAGATACCAGCCAGTTCTGTTTGGACCACGCTGGTATTTTTTCACATTCCCCACTTAATCCTTAGGCTTGGTGATCTGGAGTATACTCAACATCCTGAGCCTTCTTTGGTTTTTGAGCCATCTGTATAAATCCGTATTGCATTTGTAGCATCTGACTCGGTGTTCTGTTTTATTTGTATTTTGTAGGGTTCAGTAAACACAAACCTGGGTTTAATTGCATCGCTTGTTGCCTGCAGCAGAGGTTGCGCAGTAAGCGCTTCTCGTCAAAGGCTCAGCCTCAATTGACCCATTCCTACTTCGAGGTTTACACCAGCCATGCGCAATCGTACCATGGCCATTAACGCAACGTCCTTAACGTACAGGTCCAGGTGATGTTTAAACAAGCCTATCGTTGTATTTGATATAATTTTTGGGTGGTCGTTGATTGCAGAACTTTCGGGGGGGTCAATCCCCCTTGATCCCCCCTGGCTGCGGCCTTGCTGGTGCTCAGAGTTTTTGTTCAGGTACCTGTCTGTCTGTGTTGGTTTCCTGTACACTCTGTAGAAATTATCAAACCACGATAGACTATGGTTGGAGACTCCAAATGATTTTAACTTGTGCAAGACAAATTTTGTGATGGACAAAAATCACTTTATACAACATCCATTTGATTTCTGCTTTCTAGGATATTTAACGGTTTTTATTTAAACACCAGAAGGTTATTTAAAGTAGATTTTTTTCCCCAACTGTCGAGAGATCCAACGAATGCCCTATCAAGACGTTTATCTCCAAATCGAAGAGCTCATATGCGACAGTTGGAGGCAAAGGTGGCAATCTCTATATAATAATAAACTCAGAGCCATTAATCCGAATCTAGTCAGGACCGAACAGAAATGTCGGAACAAGTGTAGGAGCACATATTGAATATGCGCAAGGACCACATGGCACCGAAGTACACCTTTAACACGCCCAAAATCATAATCCGTGAAGAGTGGAAGACCATTAGTCATCCCGAAAGCATGTTTGGAAAATACACCTGGTATACAGATGGATAGAAGACCAAACGTGGAATGGGAGCTGGAATATACCGAGCGAATATACATCTAAACTAGAGCTATTCGTTAGGACTATACACATCCGTCTTTCAGGCGGAAGTGTATGCTATCTTGCAGTGTGCAAGGCTTATTAAATTGAGACCACAAAGAAATGAGCGGATCAATATTTTTACTGACAGCAAGAGCGCACTAGGGGCTCTGACAAACCCGAAGGTGACATCAAAACTGGTCTGGGAATGCCATGAAGAACTGAATGAACTTGCAAACAGGAACAAATTAACTTTGTACTGGGTGCCAAGGCATTCAGAAATCACAGGTAATGATAAAGCTGATGAATGCGCTAGACAAGGATCATCAACTTCATATATAGGTCCTGAACCAGCTCTGGGGGTACCAACATCATTGGTACGAAACCAAATTAGGATATGGATCAATAAGAAGCACACAGAGTACTGCACAAAAGTACCTGGCAACAAACACAGTAGAACCTTCATTAGGGAACCGTCCGAGAAAAGAACCGAAGAACTACTTCAATATAGTAGGGATCGGCTCAGAATAATTACAGGGTTACTAACCGGTCATTGTCCGCTTAGAGGACACCTGAATAAAATGAGGCTGTACAACGGAGACCTCAGCTGCAGATTATGCAACGAAGGGATAGAAACAGCTCTACACATCTTATGTGAATGTGAGGCACTGAATCACAGGAGGCAGGCAATATATGGACGTACAAAATTACGCCCAGAAGAATATGACGAACATCCAACACGGAACCTGTACAAACTAGTACAGGGAACGAGACTGATGGAATGGGTGCCATGGGAAGATGGGAGAATAAACGCAACAAGCCCAAGAGGCTGCAGAGTTTTCTGGAGACTTGGAACTAAATGGACAAGTCAGACAGCTTCCAAGGTACAAAAAAAGACGACTGTTGAAAAGAAATGGGCGGAACAATTTGCAATCTGTTAAGTTATTTACAAATTTACATACCTCCAAAACAATTTTCGGGTAATATTCAAATCCTGATCTAATTGATTTATGTAATCACTGAAACATAGCCTAGATAAATTTCCACTGTAACGGTCTTGACGTTTGAAATGTACTTTTGTATTTTTTTATATGGCATTGCCAAAAAAATTGGTGACAACTATCTATGTTATTATGAGATTATCAAAATTTATTTGTTTATGAAAATTATTATTCCTACTACCAATTTAGAAAATTTCTCATCATCTGTGTCTTTCATATTCTCTTTTTATTCGTCTCTTAAATAATATTTTTTTTAATATTCTCGATCTGCATTTCAAATATTTATCCCATCACACTTACCGGAAACAATGGTAAAGGTAGTCTTGATGGTCTTCACCTTGGCCCTGGGTATGAGCCCCCTGGAGCTGGCTCGTTTCGAATTGTCGGAACCTTAAATTGAAAATACCTGAGGAGTAAAACACCGTATATAATGTCCACTGAGAACACCTAGAATCGTTTCGGTTGCGTCAATAAGATTTTGCACCAAAAGTTGTGTGGATCTATCAGTGAATATGTTTTTTATTGACAGTCTTACTGTTAGGACTCTTATTACGCAACCCAATAAACTTTGGAAACGTTACCTTTCCGACCATCGTTTCCTTTCTTTTTGTAAACTTGATAGGTTGCGGCGCTTTTCGTCCAAATGGTGACGATGATTATGGCGTAGCAAGCACTGATGATGATCGCCGGAACGCCGAAAACGCTTATAGAGACCAATGTCACGTATAACTGCCATTTCCACTGATCCGAAAATTCTATCCAGCATTGTAGCTGATCTGTAAAATATAGTTGCATTCGGTTGTAGCTATCAAAATTAGAAATCGTTATGGGACGCTTATTACGGTGCTGACGTAAATAGTCCCCTCCTCTCAACTTTTCAATGATGCAAGTCATACAAAATTCGAGCGGTGTCATATCAAGTGATTAACTTGGCCTTCTAAAGGATCACCATTGCATGTCTGCCGGTTTGGAATATTGTCAAACCCGAATGAGTGTTTTCAACTGATATTAGTTTCAGCAAGCTTTCTTATCCAAAAGTACTGAAAATGATATCTTTTTACGTGAATTCTGCCCAACCTTGATAACTTCTTCCGTTCGAAAGTTGAGAGGGGGGACTATTCCTATTTCAGTTTATGATTAGTTAGATCAGTTTTACAGTTATGACAATTGAATGTTACCTTGAACAGATTTCTCTTCATATAATATCAGTATTGGAATCGAAAATAAAACGCTGAATAACCAGGCAGCTATAATTAAGCATTTTGCTCTCCTCCCTGAAATGATAATCATACATTTCAATCATACATTTGAAATTATCAAAAATATGTATTAATAAAATATGTATAATGAAAGGGCATGCACGTTGTGGCTCCACTAATTTATTGCCGCTAATAATTCAGAAAATTGAAAGTTGGGGATATGAGTATATCTTATGTATGTTATTCATTCAAAGTATTATATTGTGACTAAGTAGTATTATAAATTGTTCTTTGGCCTTATGTTATTGACAGAGGTGGTGTCTGTATTACCTGCAAGCAGTAAATAAGATTGATGAACGCTACAAGTAAAATAACTTGTGAAGCTTGTAACATTAACCGTTGAATAAATATATTTATAATCATCAACGCTTCAATTATCTAATAAGAGTATAAACAGAGAAATCGGGAATGATCAATGCAATATACGTGTTAGCATTTTATGGAAAAACAATATTTTTTTGTTCTTTGAATGTTTTTCACAGCACATTTATAAATCGTGTCTTCCATTTCTGGTGACATTTTATATTTATGAAGCACCTTTCCAGTTCTACATTTTTAATGAAATAATTCTCAAGTTCATATTGATATATAGAATGATGGTTTCAAAACTGAAGTAGTAATAGATAATAATTAACAACAGATGAATAGAAAACATTGAAGCCCGTTTTTATAGTATTTATCAAGAGAAAACCACACCATGGCTATATAGTGTTTTGGAATATTTAACGGGTCTTCCAACAAAGACTTCCAAACTTTGACAATTGATAACGGCCATATTGTCGAAGCTATATCTGTCAAATTAGTTGTCATTTATTCAGTATGTTTTGTCAAATCTCCATGGACGGATATAACATTCAACAACACGTGCAAATAATAAAATTGTTTTATCAAAATGGGTGTTCTGTTCGGGCAACGTACCGGACGCTTTGCACATTTAACAGTCGCCATAATCGACCTACCGAGAGAACTATTCGCAATGTCATCTCCTGATGATGTCAACTTGGCTAGCAAAACACCCATGAATGACAAATGATAGTAAACACTACAAATGAGTCACATACGTTCCTCATTAGAAAATTGGGGGAAAATCGCACATTGCAATCTTAGAGCCCCGTTAAACTGTCATGTTTTTTCTGGAATGATGTATTTTGCCACACCTTGTACACATTGACGCTATGTTTTTTCTTAAATGATGTATTTTGAGACAGCCTGTATATTCCACTCAATTTCCGCCTCCATATTTTTTCATTAATCTGATTTTCCATTCATCATTATTATAATACCATTATTAATAACCAATATTTTCACCTACATGTATTATTTCTATAATTCAACCACGCTGTTATCTTTCAACTGAATCTCTCCGATATTCATTATATCCTTTTATACATCGATCACGTTAAATTGTCCTCTCACTTACATACACACCTCTTATGGAACTTGAATTTCCCGCTGTGCGCGTGGTAGCTTCTGATTCGTCGACTGGATGACGACAAAAGTGGAGGAGTGGGGGTAGACTGGAGACCGGCCACTTCTACTTACATTTGAGTCCATCGGTTCAGTAAACGATCGAACAACACATCACGTACGTCGACGAAACGCAAGATCTGCCAAAAAAATCGCCGCTGTCTGAGAGTATGCAGGAAAATCTGAGGCAGTCGATTTCGCGTCGCTCAGAAGAACTCTGCCTTTCGCAGACTACCACTTGGCGAATTTTGCATCATGACTTGGGCCTGCACCCGTACTGACCCAGGAACTGAAGATACACGACCATATACAACGACGTGTATTCGCTGAATCTTCTTCAAAAATCATCTTCATGACTAATCAGTCAGTTTGGTTAGGATTTTGAGCTGACAACGTCATCGGTCCTTATATCTAGGCTAGGCGAGGGCGAGCACGATAAGTGGATGGTTATCAACTTATTCTGGCCGGAATTAGATGATCTGGACACCAAGGACATGTGGTTTCAACAGGACGGCGCTATGTGCCACACAGCTCATACCAAATTGGATATTCTGCAAGAGCGATTTGAGGACATGGTGATGTGATATGGCCGCCGAGATCGTGCCATTTGACTTCGTTAGAATTTTCCTTGTGGGGTTTTCTAAGTCGCAGGTATATGCCAATAAATCACAAACCACAGTGGTTCTCGAAGCCAAGATAACACATGCCATCGGTCAAATTCAACCTGACTTATGCGCCAGAGTAACGGAAAATTGGACGTTTCGGATGCCCTCCACCCAGAGAAGCCAAGGCAGACATTTAAAAGATGTTATGTTATACACATAATGAAATCAATAGGTCTTTCAAACGAATAAAAAAAGTCGATGATATTTCACACACACTTTGTTTAATGCAAATTTAAAGATAGGAAGCGCTTAATGAAACACCTTATATTTATCAACGCTGTAGCTATTCTTTGAAAATCCCAAATGAAAGCTGTAAGAATTGTCTACATTATGTTGAGTCTTTTAATTGAAAACCCCTTCAGAGTTATAACATTTGCTTTAATGCTCTCTTCAAATTAACACATTTCAAGATTTATCAGGTTACCAAAGCAATTATTTCCAAATCTGTAACTTGAAACAGCAAAGTGAAAAGCCCAATGCATTGTGTATTATTACTTCAACGCCTTTTTATTGTTATGTGAGTTTGTAAGATGAGTACCAACCAATAAATTAATTCGTCAGCAAACAATATTTCTACCATTTCAAAAAAATACTTTCACTTTCACTTTATATTCTTTTTAATAAATTGATGTTACGTTACTACGTGGTAGGAAATCATAATGAAAAGAGAAATGAAAATTTCTATGTTTTTTACCACTTTTATTTGTAACTAACTTTACTGCAGTTTCGTCCTATATGGACATTTTCAAAATTGTATAAGTTTAAAAATGTCCGTATAGGACGAAACTGCAGTAACGTTAGTTACAAATAAAAGTGATAAAAAACATAGAAATTTTCATTTCTCTTTTCATTATATTCTTTTTATTAGTTCTGTTTAATTCGTTTTCTGTTTGCTCAATGCTCATCTGTATTCAAATCTCGATCTCTTCAAATTCTCACGTGAAAGTGTCCCTTCGAATGGTCTGAAAAGGCGATTTACAAGCAACCGTTCCAGCCGCTGGAATATGCTGAGAATTTCCCTTTTTGCGCGACATGCTCTGCATACACGTGTTCAACGGTTTTATATACAGGGCGATACGTTCATATCGAAAATGTAATGCTACATTTTGTAACGGGTGAAAACTGAATACATTTTTTAATATTGTTGTCATAACCTTGAAGTCAATATTGGGATTTCCCTGGTCTACATCGTGAATTTTTTTCTTGACGACTCCCATGAAAGGTCCTGTGCTTCAAGACAATGTTCTGAAAGATTCTGGATTAGAAGCAGGCACGCAGGAATGTGCACTTACATGTTTGATTGCTTACACATGTTCATATCAGTTGTAATTTTGTCTTTGTCATTATTCTTGAATTGAGATTTGAAGTTCATAAAAAACTGATGCTATAGCAAAGAATAGGAATATGCTGAATAAATGACAACTAATTTGGCAGAGCTCGTTTCCTGGGCTCGGGAATGTCATTATAAATTGAACAGATTTGGTCAAATTTTGGAAGTCCCTGTTGGAAAACCCGTCAGATTGACTGATTGACCAGAAGATAAGGGACATTATGTTGAGGAAATTAACAGTGAGGGTTACCAAAGCTGCGAATTGTTTTCGTAACTATAACAGAAAGGATAACACTTACAACTGCCAGAGAACTTCATAGGATGTCTGATAGCGTCGTACCGGTCTATACTGAGGGCCACAAGTACGTAGGTAGACGCATAAGTTACAACTACCTGTAGGCATAAATGTTTGATGAATGTTGAAATGAAAATAATTGATAAACGTTACCTGCAGAAATTTGATCAACTTGCATGCCACGTTGCCCGCATTCCAACTTACAGTGCTTCTCCATATCAGGTCTGTTAGGACACTTATTAGGCCTACACACAGATCTGAAAATGACTGCTTCAATGAGAAAGGGGGATGATATTTTTCATGGCGTAGAGAGGTTAATTGTTGTTTACCAACATATCCATTTTGGTGTGAATATTTTTTAGAATTATGTGTATTATACACATATCGAGTGGTCCAACGAAAAGTATGCACCTTGCTTTTCTCCTTTCTTTGTAACTTAACGCAAAAATGTTCGGACAGGTCAATTTTGCTTTTGAGGGGGACACATTTTAGATGTATTTTTCTACCTGTGCCTTCAACCCCCAAGCGATGGTGAGGAATGACCATAAAACTTTAAATGGAAAGTGGGGTCGACTGTTATAGTATTTGAAAGGGCACAAAATTCTCTTTCCAATGATATCTAATTTGTTGTATTTACTTGAATAGTTATAAAAAAAGCAAGAACATTCCCTCGATATTTTTGGTGTCAATGAAAATGCGGAAAAAACGGCATTTTTATCACTACTACATTCTTCAATTTCTCTCGTGCGTNACCCTCGCTAGGGGGTTGAAGGCACAGGTAGAAAAATACATCTAAAATGTGTCCCCCTCAAAAGCAAAATTGACTTGTCCGAGCATTTTTGCGTTAAATTACAAGAAAAGGAGAAAAGCAAGGTGCATACTTTTCGTTGAACCACTCTGTATATCAGCTCTCGCGATTTTTTAAAACTAGCTTGAATTTCTGAAACTTGCTTTACGATGCCTTCGTTAATTTGTATTAATATTTTTATACTTGCTCATTATTTCTGAATTTGGTCTTATTATATCAAAATTATTCTTTTTTTGGCAAATAATTGTGTTTTTCAATTCGGAACTTTGAGTTTCTGGTGAACTGGTTTGTGGAAATGCAATATTTCATGGATTTTAATCAAGCTGTCTGGCCAATCTTTTATTAAATTCTGCTGAAATTGTTGTTTCCTAGACACCAATTTTGCATATTGTAATATGTGTAATTTTGGTGACAAAACACCATAAAACTGGATTAATACTGGATTACTGATAAGTTATATATCTATCCCATTACGTACAATAAATATCGACTAGATAATTTCAATTCACTGACTCAGGACTAACGTGCATGCCGGAGTATTTACCTGCAAAAGCCAGATGGGTGATNCGTGCATGCTTGAGTATTTACCTGCAAAAGCCAGATGGGTAATGAAGTAGTTCATCCTGCTCTTTCTTGACCTTCCAACCAACAGAGTATATATTACACCCAAGTTTCCTGCCACAATCACAATGAGTAGCAACCATAATACTGTGAACTGTTCTACCTAGAATAATACATTTTTTTTCAAAGTATTCGGGATATCGTTTTTTTATTAGGTTGTTTCAAAGGTTTTGTTCGTTTGTTTAAGCTTATTTTAATTCAGTATATGTCGACCGCACACTGAACTCTGAGTCATGCGAAGGGAGGCGAGAGAATCGTTTGTCCGGGATACGGCTAGCGTTGTGTGTTAGAGTGAGGAGCCAGACAAACTGGCGCGTTACGTTACCAAGCGGTTTACCCTTTCATAAGAAGTTATCACTTCAAAAATAACAACAGAAGTTTCATAAATTTGAATGATATTGAAATAATCCAAAGTTTTGTTCTAAAATTCCGTGTTCGTTGAAAACAAATCATTTTATCAATGGGAACAAAGTAATATAAAACAACGATAAAAATTAATTGGCGCTCCGGGGCGACTTCATTGATTCCAGTGGCGCATTTGCTTTTTCAGCTGCAGGAAAACCCGGAAAAACCTGCAGCACNATTTGTAAATATTTTAATTTTTCTAGGAATATTAGTTAAATAATTGTTCAGGATGAGTGGTGATTTTGTATGGGCTATTAAAAATGGAGATCTAGAACAAGTTAAAGACATAATTGAGAAAAAGGTAATTTAAATTGGGATTTCAATATTCCATTAATCATTTAGATTTTTCAGTCAGTTAATGTTAATGATGAAGTCCAGGGACGACCTCTCATACTATATGCTGCGGATTATGGACAAACAGACGTTATTGAATACCTAATATCTGCAGGAGCAGACGTGAATTCCAAGGATAAGTTTGGTATCACCGCCCTTTTAGCAGCTATCTGGGAAGGTCATAAGGACTGTGTAAAATTACTTTTAGAAAAAGGTGCCAGAAAGGATGGAGTTGCCCCAGATGGAAAAACGTATTTAGAGTCTGCCGAAAATAATGAAATACGACAACTTTTATCTGCTTAAATTTTGTTTGGTCCGAAACTGTCCAAGAAATGATTGAATTTAGTGAACAAGATTAGTATTAGGTTTCAATTTTTCAATTTAAATTAAGCTTTCAAGTTGACCTTTGAAATTCAGTAAAATAAGGTCATAAACTGTCAACGACCTGCCTCACCTTGTTCACAGACGGATCAAAAACACCTTTTGGTTCTGGTGCAGGTGTTTTCAGTCGCAGACCCAGGACAGAGATATAAACCTGTCTAGGAACCTATGCGGCTGTATTTCAAACGGAAATTTACGCTATTGAATTTTGTGCGTAGAGATTAAAAGAATTCAACCTCATACACCAGTCAATAACAATATTCTCGGACAGTCAAGCGGCGTTGGAAACTCTTGGTTCCTACGGAGCAACGTCTAAATTGGTTGCAAATTGCCAAAAACGACTCTCGTCGATAGGAAGACTTAATGAGGCTGCTGACTTCCTTGTGAAGGAGGATGCTGCAAGCAGCTTCATTGGATCGCTTAAGGCTTTGCCAAACAAACTTTGAACACCTGGATGGCAAGAGGATTTATGGACTTCTGGCAGAATCTTCCAGGATTGGCTTACTCCAAGGCGTTCATTCACCCTTCGAAGCTTGATACCAAACAGTTTTTGGGATGAACTACGATGTCTTACAGGCCTTCTTACAGGACACTGTCATTTGAATCATCATATACAGAGACTCGGACTGTCAGAAGACAGTGTGTGTCGCCTCTGTTTGGAAAATGATGAAACGACAGAGCACATACTTTGTGTCTGCCCCGATGGGGATTGAATCAGGTTTTTAGAGTTCGGGAGACTGGGACATTGAATGCGCATAAATACCTGATGGAGGTTCTACAAGGCCATGTTTTACCATACATGCCTTTTCTTGGAGACGACGCAACATTCATGCATGATAATGAACGGCCTCACACTGCTCGGATCGTTACTCAGTATTTTGACGAGGTTAAACTCACGCGATTTGTTTGGCCTGCGCACAGTTCGGATTTAAATCCCATTCAACATGCTTTGGATGAGCTTAAGAAATGTTTACGGAGACATGTGCTGGGTCCCAGAAATTCTAGAGAGCTATGCGATATACTGGTACAGGAATGGGAAAATCTTCCGCAGAATGTAATCCAAAATATTATCCTAAGCATGCCTCGTCGTTTGTAAGCTATTATCACTGCCGGTGGAGGAAACACTCTTTAACGAAGCCGTCTTTCAACCAAATGCATATCAGAGTAAAATTAATCATTTCATTTTTTACCACACTGAAGTAAAATTGTTCATTTTTATCATTAACAAATAAATATGGACAACCGAAAAAATAAAATAAAATAACTTCAAATTACGGAGTGACTGAATTTAATAAATTTTGTTGTAAGTTACATTCGTTTAATAATCACCCGTCAACTTTTTTCCCTAAAGCGATCTAAAAAAAAATTATTGCCATTTTCAAAAATATCCCTAGACTTTTCCGATGTGTGTATTTTTAACCACTACGTGAAAGAGTGATCATCAGGGTGTTTGGAATGAAACCTTTAACGCAGTTCATAGATCTCATTCCACATTTGTCGATTTCAAAACTGTCATAGGCGTCTAAAGCCTATGTCATGTATTGGTACAAACAATTTCAAACATTTTTCTTATCGTGTAGCCGTTCTCTAAGGCATGTTGAACGACGCTAGACTTCACTGGTCTACGAAACCGAATATGTTAAAAATGTTCCTTGAAAGGCGTTATTGTGGTTCTTTCAGTTTGGCCAACATACATTTTGTCGCAATCTTTCCAACTTACAAAGCCATTACTGTAGTTTGGTTCATATGCATGGAAAAACTATAAATTTTGAGTCATCGTCTTTCTGAAAAGTCGTGTGTTTACGAAGACATTCTGGATTTTTGTTTTCTATCAACTATGTTTGATAGATACGTTACTCTTAGTTATTTTCTTGGTAACTTTTTTTTCAATGTCGCAGAATAACCTGAATATGTGCTTCAAAATAAAAATTATATCAAAAGTGAAAATTCCACTTCGATTATTTTGTTGGTTGCGTACAAACATATTGAACTTGATTTGTGCATCTTGACTAGTAGGAAGCTCTGTTATTTTTTGTGTGTAGCTGCAGAAAAATTATGTTAGAAAATTTAGATCGTTTCAATTTTATTTTCATATGCTAGGCACATTTAACGAATTTATTAAACGTCACCCATTACTCGTCTTACCGCATACATACATTTTCCAAAAAAAAATCAAAGGGATATAGCGAAAGTTGCCATCACCAGGAGATGAATTACACTTCAAAGCTCTAATTTATAACCCTCCTTTTTTAAATGTCAAAGTGATGATTTATTTTAAAATCTTCTATTTTTATCTCGCCTAAATTTCACGAAAATTAATGATGATTTTGTAAATGTCTTCTCAAAACGATTAGAATATTCTTAAGCACACTTGACGTTATCAAAGTATACGATATCTGGTTAAAAAAGAAAGTGAATTTTCATTTATCTTAGAAAATATTTATTCATTCATTCATTTCTATTTTGTTCGCTACAAAGTAGTTGCCCCCCTAATATAATACACTTGTGCCAGCATTTTTCCAATTCTCGAAGCAGTTCTGATCGTCACAGAACGCCGTTCTTTCATGAACAGGAAAAAGTCGCAGGGGGGCAAATCTGGTGAATACAGTGGCCGAGGCATGATTACGGTGTTGTTTAGGGCCAAAATATTACGAACAAGCAGGTGAGGTAGCAGGTGCATTATCGTGATGCACTACGCCACGATAATCGAAGGAAGCAGTAAGCAAAACCTCAACATTTGATAGAACTTGGCGCGCTTTTGTTTCAATTTGTAGTGAATTTTTTGTGATCTCTTCTCAATAAAGTACGTTTCAACCTATCAACCCCAAAATTTTCATGCTTCCATGCAGTTAGCGATATACAAAATCTATATTGATTGTGCTAACTTCTGACAAAGACATTCAGTTGCCAAGGTAGTGCATCGCTGAATTTTCCTAGCACATTTATCTCACGAGTTAATCCGGTGGAGCCGAGCTTATCCAAACTTGAATCTTCGAAATGAACAGTTCCTTTTTTAAAATTTTCCTCGGATTTCGTGGTTTAATTGTGCAACAATTTATCTTCGTATACGTTGCGCCAGAGTGGAATCGACTCACAACACACTTCCACTTTTCCGCTTCTTGAGAAAATTTACCGGTCTCGACGAAATCCTCCCAAATTGATAATTCTGAGCGTTCTTGAGGAATAAACTTTAATTTGCCTCCTGAATTGGGAATATAAGTGCCAGTTTATCGAGGATGAATTTTATGCCCAACAGCCTATTGCTTCATCGTTGATCTATTGGTCTGCTTTCAAGAAAAAATCCGGTTGAGAGCCTATATAGTTTTATTGGGTCGATCAGTCTTCGGTTAATCAAATCATTGTCGTTCATATTGTTAACTTGAGGAGAACACTGACTCTCCTGATGAAATGCGTTTTATACACTTTACTTCCTTAATGGATAATCCTTCAACTTGATGCCGCCATGATGAGTTCCATGTATGCATCGACAACGAATTCATTCCTTCTGTCTCTGAAGCTAAATGCCTTAGTATTATTTTTGACCAGCAGCTCAAATTTTCCAAGCAATTAGGTCTCGTCGCCTCAAAAAACTTTTTCCTTGTCATCTCGCATACTAACTATGCTGACATAGTTTTTGGAACTTGTTTCTGCAAAATCAAGGCGTTCATTGCATAAAAGCGTTTCCCCTCAAGCGCAGATCATTATTGAAATTTCTATAATTACAAACTCTAGAACAATAACGATTCTAAGTAAGAATTCTGAATTTCATTATATTCAGAAGATGATCTGTTATCTAAGGATAGACTACAAAAACACACTTTTGTCAATTTTCCACGATATTTCCTTATTGTTGACTAGTTTCGGCCATTACACATGAAACATAAAATAAATGAAGATAATTGAAAGGTCCTCCACACATGCGAAAAAGGGAAACTGATGAATCTTTTGGAATCTATGGAAATGAACAGGTCAAAGAAAAATCCCAATTCAGTTATCCTCAACGAACAACTTGATCTAAACAATAGTCCTCTCCTGAACCTATAATCCAGTTCCAAAAACCTACGTTAAAGTTTTGTTTTGTTATATTCTTCGATATTCCAGGCATAGACAATATAAGTACCAAATTATTTATGATAGGATAGGCAACATAGGTGTAAATTACTCAGATTCAAATGTAATCTAGTTAGTTTTCAAAATGGTGTAATGGCCGAAAGCAGTCAGCAATAAAAGAATACCGTGGAAACTAGACAAAAGTGTGTTTTTGTAGTGTATCCTAAGTGAACATATGCTGTGACATGAATTTCCACAAAATAAACAAGTCGTCAATCAAGGAAGATGATCTGTTATGTCGTGATTATGTCAAAGACGAACGGTTGTATATTCGGGATATATACAGGTTGTGGATTTGAAAACCCCAGCCTTAATATCTTCATTCCAGTAAACAATATGAGGAATCGAAAAAACAGGTCAATTTTATTGTCAAAGGGGACATTTTCAAAGACTATTTGTAGACCTCAGGTTCCTTCAAGCATTTCAAGGTACAGATTACCAGTCAAGTTTTCTTCCAGAAATAATGGACCAGTAATGGTATTTCCAAGAATGTGTTGTGTATGCCCTTTCCGCACTTTTCAACTTCTCCATAAATTACAATTATTTCAATTTTGTCTTGAAGAATGTAAACCCTTTTTTTCACTTATTAAAGTAATCACTAAGCAGCCCAACAGATACAACTGAATGCACATTATTTAAATTTGCGAACCAATTTTTTTACCTGAAAACAGAAAATTTTCACAGCAGAAGTAGCAAAAAAGGACGGCTATCTGTACACTTTCTGTGCCGAGAATTAAAAATTCAGCATTTAGTAAACACAATTTCACTACCATCTACGTTTTACTATCAGACTACTTTTTGATGTAAATTCATTGGAGCTAATAGCTAATGTTACTCCTAATAAAGGGTTGGAACGGTACTACATAATAGTCT